ACCCAGACCATTCAAGAATTCTATGAGTTTCTGGAATTCTTCTTTAGATCTCTATTTTTGGTGAAGCAAAGTTGGGTATGTAAGGTAGTGTAAGGTAAGGGTTTGAATTTTTAATTGCAACTGAACGCTTTTGAGAGACATCGAAACTTCTTTAGATTTACAGAGTAGATCTTGTTTGTGCAAGGACAAATACTTCAGCTGAAAATAATGATTAAGTATTGCGACTGTCTGAAAAGGTGTTTGGGAACATTACAGGATACAAGAAGGTATGTATATGCTACATATATATACACAGGTAGGAAACATTTTTCACTACCTTATGATACTTCCCATGTCGCATGTATTCATAATAATCAGACTTACTGAAGCCCCACTCTGTCAGGAGCCCAAGGCAATGGTCCTGAATACCTGAGAGCATCAGAGACCTAGCTATTACTTCTCCAAAATCAGTCTTACACATGCCACACTGTTCAGAAATGGGAGCCCTTCTTTTTTCCTCTGGCTTCTGAGATTACCAAATAGCTTGTTGAAGAAAAGCATAAACCCCTGCTGATATCTGATGTCAGCAATTAGCCCCCTTAGAGACAGATGGTATAGCCAATTTGCCTTTCCCTTCAATGCTGGCATGAGCCCAGATGGGCTGGGCTAAGTCCAGTAAGCTTTCCTTAATCAGCGGAGTATTTTTGCCTTTTCTTAGTCTTTAAGATGTCAAGGAACTTTGGTCTTTTCCTGAACTGTCATTGTATGAAGCCAGACATTCAGAAAGTCTCTTCCACCAATGGTGAGGTAGCAGCAATACAGACGTCATTCAGGAACCACACTGCATTTCCCAAACATCTCTTATTTTTTCCTACAAAGACAGAAGAGTAATAATGAATGCTGAGCACTGAAAAGAAAGAGCAGAACTTACGGGAATCAATAAGGACTGCAGCCTAACTCCTCTAGAAAACAGAGAACTAATAGGATTCTCATGCTGACCTGCTCAAAATACATCTAGCTTTCTGACATGCATATAGATCCCTGCCAACAAAAAAACCATGCTAATCAGTAATTATAGAGAGAGGAAGCTTGTAAAGGTAATGTAACTTCCTCCAGCCCTGAAGGGGTGACATTCTGTACTCATAACCATGTTGGGCCTCACTGATTGCTCTTTCCAGAATACGAATTTACTCCCTGAACTCAGAAGCATGCAACCGCTATATTCTTTCTCACACAGATAGCTCTTCCTAAGGTCGTGTCCCATATGAACTTTTATTGTGGCCTTGAACAGAAGTAAAATAGAATAATTTGTATAATCAGATATTCTCCTAAGGTGTAAGGGTATTTTTGTTCTTTTGTGGCAATGTTTTCTTACCAGTGTTTCTTTGGAAAGTGTGCCAGAATGAAACCTCAAAATGATTTGTGCACTGTTTCACCAGAAGTGTTAAATAACCTTTAAATGGAAATCCAGGAAATTATTAAAAGCCTTCAGTAAACATCAAGAAAACAGAATACAGCAACTTGGGAAGCCTGAAAATTTTCTCTGAAAATGGATATGAAATTTGTATGCTTAAGGAATTTCTGCTCTTTGCAGAAATTAAGGTGCCAAGTCAGCTGGGATCTGCAACTCCTATGTAGTCTTAATGTTGCACCTTGCTGCTGTGTGGGGGCACTCAACCATCTGCTTTGTAACTGTTTCTTATCTGGGTGACATAAGTGAATTAACCCCAAGTGGACCATCAAGGAGCTTTTCTCAGAATAAGGTTGTCATAGTGTGGACAGTTTGAATAATAAAAATCTGAGTGTGTGGTAGAAAGGCTATAGTTATTTTTTCCTGACTGTTAAGACAGATGAACTGGTTGATGGAGCCCATAATTATGGCAGAGACAAAACCCATAGTTCGGAGTGTTTGACTCCTTTATCTCCTTTCTCTGAATAAAAATCTTAGTTGGCTACTGCCCAGGTTCTTTTGGCCTTTCTTGCTAGGTACATGGCATGTTCATTCTGTCTGAGCCTGGGTTAGTACCGATGAGCTGGTGATGTGTTACATGCCGAATCTGTGGCATTATCGGCAAGAGCTCTGGACAAAGGTACAGTAAATCTGACATGACTCACAAGCAATTGTTGCTTTGTGATGTACATTTTCTTTCACTCTCTGTCATTATTTAATGGGCTGAATGATAGAAAATGTACATATAACCACAAGCTTTCACCGGTCTGCATACCTGCTCCCAGCTAGACTTGGGATGTGACTTGGGACAAGCTGCAGGCACCTCAGCATCTGTGTTGTCGTGGGTGGATGATGAATAATTGTATTGCTGGGTGAATCTCAAGCCTCTGCCTTCCTTTCCTGCCACTTCTCTTGGCTTGGTGCTGATGCTGTCTTCTTTTTCTGGCTGAACTTTTTGAGTTCAGCTCCATCACAGGAAAGAATAAAACAAGAAACAGAGAGGCTGCTTGGCTCAGCAGGTACCACAGTGCCCTCTTGTTGCTAGCAGCCACAATTACAGACTGCTCTGCCAGCCCAGCTGGATATTTGAGGTCTCAGTGGGCTGCTAAACATGTGAATACTGGCAGCCTTGGAAAAAGGGGTCTCAGACTGTCCAAAGAATACAGATACATGTTTTATGCAAACCTGGGAGCTTGTGAATAAAATGAGTTCACTTATATTACCCTAAACAGATGACCAAATTCACACAGAGAAGTTTTGAAATATGAAACACAGACCCAGATGCTACCTGAAATGACTTTTATTGTTCACACTTACCTTCTGGCACAGAAACAGCAACAAACCCAAAATAGACTGCAAAAAGTAAAAACTATTCTTCTTCCTCCCCAGATTCTTCCTAAGAAATAGTCCTTCTGTTAGTCATTTTAAGATCTTACCATAGTTGGGGGTTTTCTTTTCCTTTTCTTTTTCTTGTTCCTTGTTTTCTTCTTCTTCTTTTTTTTTTTTCTTCTTTCTCTCCCTTTTTTAGTTGGTGGTTTGTTTTTTGTTTTTTGTTTTTTTAATGATAAAACATCAGACTTTCAGGTCTTCATCCTGCAAAAGAGGATGGGGAAACTACCCACCCACCGCATCGCCTTTTGCAAGGGTCTTGAGTTCCTAGCTCTGTAGCTGAACTTCTCATCCATTTTAAGTATTGATAACTTATTCTTTTCCTGCTGCATTTGGCCTTCCATCTTCTAGAGAAGTCAGCTAGTTAGTTAAATAAGAGTTTACAGGAATACAGTACTTGGGAGCATGTGTGAAAGCTTGTTCAATTTAAAAACCACACTCCATTCAAAACTCATTTAAAGCTTAGTGAATTGTATTAAAATAGTGCAGAGAATTAAAAACTTAGGGAAATTTAAATCCAAGCGTATTTTAATATGTAAGTGCATCGTCAGAATGCCCAGGTCAATTTTTTATACCTATGTGAAACACTGCAATTACTATGTAGTTACTGTCTGTGATCTCACTTCAATGTGAAGTGGAACTTTCGGGTTGGATGTATTTGTGTTTTTCTCTGAAATTAAAATAATTGATACTGAAATAGGATTGAAGATAAACTGCTTCTCATGCATGAAGTAATAACGTAAAGGCAAAGCTCAATTTTATGATTAATGCTTGATTGTTGCTGTAAATGAGATTAATGGTAACGGTCAGAGTAAAAACCATTCAATATGTACAATCTGAATTTGCTTGTTATAAAAATTCACAAAGAAGGGTGTACAGGTCAAAATATACAATGACATATCAAATCTTGCATTAGAATGTGTGGTGGTGTAGATGTTACATTTGGGCTTTTTCTGGATTCTTTTTGCAGGGTGAATAGAAAACAGATAATTACAGGTATGCAGAGCATCTTGCACACAGATGATCTGAGCATAAATATATCCTTCTAAACTTAACTTACATTCTTGTAACAAATTTCTTAGAAATGTAGACTATCTCCAGCACAGTTCTGGTGTCTGCCGTCATAAGACATAGGGCATGACAGCTTAAGTAGTCTCGTGTTCATGAGGATGGCATAGTGTAGCAAGTTTATAAGCTGTTACCCCATCAGATATATTAATTGCCACATGCTTCTGCTGTATGGTGCTTTTGTAAGTTCAGAATTTGGTGCTTTTTTATAAAGATGTGCAGAAAATAAGATAAAGCAGAGGCTGTAGGCACCTGGTTTTAAGTTATATCTAAACATGGCATTCAAATGTTAATGGGATGAATAAATCTTCATTTCAGGGACATGAAAATGTCAGTAGAATAAAATTATTTATGACAGAATAATGGTTTCTGACACCTAATAAATACTAGGGTGGAGCCACTTACTGAAAGTATATAAAAATATTCTGTTGCTTTTTGCCAAAAACAAAAATTCAGGAAAAAATTGACATGCTTATTTTCCAAGAGATTGACACTAATATCTTTGGCATAAATCTAATATCACAGATAAAAACCTGATGCAACAATGCTATATAAATGCCACTCAAGAAAAAACTATGGGCATGTAGGTTACCAAATTGTGGTAAACTTTGTTAGCAGAATTTTGCAGATTTTTTCCACTCTTTCAATGTGAATTGCATGTATTTACAGTGGAATAGCTGTTCATGATATTATTTTGTGGTTTTGAATTTATCTTACCCAAGCATTATTTTACAAAATCAGTTTGACTTTGTCGTGGTTTAAACCTAGCCAGCCAGCTTGTGAACTCACTCCCAGCAAGTGGTGCTGGGCTGGAAGCAGTCGAGGCCCGCGTCCCCTGTCCCCCGTCCCCCCTCCCCCCAACAAACAGCATTGTTGCTCTCAGGTGACAGAGAGGGAGGCTGAAGAGGGAATCAGGATAGTTTTACATGCACCCTCAGTCAGCATTGAAACAATGCAGCTTTGGAGTTATGGCTCCAGGAGGGACTGTTTTGCTGTTGGTTTTCCATCTATTTCATAGTAATCTGTATTTTCAGACTTACTTTTGCTATTCTGTATTAAAGATACAGCATGCTTAAAAGCTTTGACTTTGGGTGGTGGTTTCTCCCCCCCACAGATGGAAGACCTTTAACTCTGGATGAAATATGGAGAAGTGTTCATGCATGTTACCAGGATCGTCTGCAGGAGGGGCCCTGGGACACTGTTACACAGCAGGTGAGAAACCATTCATCCTCTACAAAACTGATGAATGCAATATGTGCCTGAATCCTCAGTAACCTTATTCCCTTCCTGGACACAAGTGGAATACATAAAAGTCTGAAGTTGTGCTGAGCTACAAGTACCAACAATAGTTTTAGCCCTGAATTTTGAAGGATGTGTAAGTGTTCACCATGTAAGACTTAATGTATATCGCTTAAAATACTTTTTCAAAGCCAGTCCTGAAAACATCAGGCCATGTCTGAATAATCATGGATTTGGGTAAATACAAAAGTAGACTTATTTGTGTAAGTAATATATACTAGTGTAACATTTCACAGATTGTCTGTGAGTCAAATGAGCAAAAAAGACTGTCGTCAATTTTAAATAGACTTGCACTCCTTAGGATTGAAGGAGAGAAAAAATTGGTCTCTCAACCAAATGGTAAGTTATTGCCAACTGAATTCCTTAAGAATCAGTAGCTAATGAATGCTGTGTTTTACAAAAGGAAGCAGATTAGTAAACTGTGATGTCACTGACTTTTAGAGCTATTCAACTCGCTTTTATTTAAAGTGGTTTTAAAGTCACCACAGCATTTCAGCAGCTCTTTCCAGACTTGTGATGATGGCTGTCTTGGAAACGGCCGCACTTGCTCAAGGAAGAGTCAGAAATGTTTCAGAGCCAAGTTGTTTCCTATGGTTTCTTCTTTCAGCTCCAGGCCTCCAGTGCAAGTTTGGACTAAGAATAGAGACCCTCCAGGTGTGAATTGTTTATCATCAAAGATACTAATGTGTCCTTTTTTCCTCCCCTTTCCTTCCTTGTCTTTTTGGGTTTAGCTCTTCCAGGTATACAGGTCTACTGCACAGCTGGCACAACGGGGATGTAGCCTCAACTGAGTTCTGCAGGTGTTTCCTTAATTCAGCTAATACAATTTAATTACAGGATGCCTGTTTGTAGATGGTACTCAGTCATGGGAACACAAGCAGAATTCATGTTTTTGCCACCATGGACTATTATTTACCTTATAATAGCTCCCTGAGAACCTAACAAGCATTGGTTTTCTGATGTTTGCTGTGCCTATCTGAATTCCAGGTGCGAGTTTTCAGATTCTTGCTACACGTATTTTTACATAAAACATCAATTACCTGACTTGTCTAATGCAGAATGAAGATGAGAGAGGTTTTAACAAAATAATGTAAAATGGTAGCAGATAACTGATCTGCACAAGAAAGTTCAGATTCTTCAGTAAAGTTTTATGATTTATATCTGAAGTTTCAGGTATGTTTCTGCATAGAGAGTGTCCTGGGTTAAGCTGTAGCAATCATTTTTCTCCTTCTCAGCAGCTAGTGCAGTGCTGTATTTTTTACTTTAGTCTGAGAACAAAGCTAATCCCCAATGTTTTTAGCTGTTGCTAAGTAAAGTTTACACTAATCAAGGACTTTTTCAGTCTCATGCTCTGCCAGTGAGGAGGGGCATGGGAAGCTGGGAGGAAGCAGAGACAGGACACCTAATCCAAACTAGTAAAAGGAGTATTCCATACCACAGCACGTCATGCCCAGTATAGAAACGATGAGATCGCTGCTCAGGTCGGGCTGGGTATTGGTTGGCAGGTGGTGAGCGGTTGTATTCTCTTCCCTTGTTATTTCCCATATCATTATTATTATTGGTGGTAGCAGTAGTGGTTTGTGTTATACCTTAGTTACTGGAGTGTTCTTATCTCAACCCACGGGAGTTACATTCTTACACCTCTTCTCCCCATCCCCCTGGGAACCATGGGGAAGAATGTGGGGGAGGGAGTGAGCTACTGTGTAGTTCTGAGTTACCAGCTGGGCTTAAACCGTGATGGAGAGGCAGAGGATTCAGGTAATTTTGCCTTCACTGCTTCTGCGCTGCTCCATTCCTAGTTGACAGAGATAAGTATCCCTGTGGTCAGATGCTAGGAATCCTTTAGGGCTGACATCTCTGGTATTTCCCAGCTGAGCTGTTCTGGCTTGTGGATAGTTTGTATTCCCACCTGCAAAAATGTTCAGGAGGCTCTGTTGTGCACACTCCAGAGATGGCATGCCTTCTCTGCACCCGTCTTATACTGTGGCCTGGAGCCACGTTAAAGCTCCTCTGTGGAAAGCACAGACTCTATTCATCTTCAGAGCGTTGCAAGAACCTGCAGTTCTGTGTAGATAATAAATCATAATGCAATACTACTGAGAATAAAGCATAAACACTATGTTTGGAACGTGTAAAATCAGAATGGTGGAAGCCAAAAGTAAAACCGTGTCACTTCGACCCAGAGATGTAATGACTGGAAAAAGTGTAATATAACCCCCATTGTCAAGAAGGGGAAAATGGATGACCCAGGGAACTACAAACCAGTCAGTCTCACCTCTGTGCCTGGCAAAATCTTGGAGCAGATTCTCCTGGAAGGCATGCTAAGGCACATGAAAAATCAACAAGGTGCTTGGTGACAGCCAGCATGGCTTCACTAAGGGGAAATCCTGCCTGACCAATTTGGTGGCCTTTTATGATGGGGCTACAGAACTGATGGACAGGGGTAGAGCAGTTGACCTGCTCTACATGGACCTGTGCAAAGTGTTGACCTGCTCTACATGGACCTGTGCAAAGTGTTCAACACTGTCCCACACGACATCCTTGTCTCTGAATTGGAGAGACATCAATTTGATGAATGGACCACTAGGTGGATAAAGAGCTGGCTGGATAGCCACACTCAGAGAGTTGTGGTCAATGGCTCAATGTCCAGCTGGAGACCAGTAATGAGTGGTGTCCCTCAGGGATCAGTATTGGGACCAGTCTTGTTTAACATCTTCGTTGCTGACATGGACAGTGGGATTGAGTGCACCCTCAGGAAGTTTGCCAATGACACCAAGCTGTGTGGTTCGGTTGATACGCTGGAGGGAAGGAATGCCATCCAGAGGGACCTTGACACGCTTGTGAGGTGGGCTGATGCCAACCTTATGAAGTCTAACCATGCCAAGTGCATGGTCCTACACCTGGGTCGGAGCAATCCCAGGCACAGTTACAGGCTGGGCAGAAAAGGGATTCAGAGCAGCCCTGTGGAGAAGGACTTGGGTGTGCTGGTCGATGGGAAAATGAACATGAGCCGGCTTCAGTGTGTGCTTGCAGCCCAGAAAGCCAACTGTATCCTGGGCTGCATCAAAAGGAGTGTGACCAGCAGGTCGAAGGAGGTTATCCTGCCCCTCTACTCTGCTGTCATGAGACCTCACCTGGAGTATTGTGTGCAGTTCTGGTGTCCCCAACATGAAAAGGACATGGAACTGATGGAACAAGTCCAGAGGAGGGCCACGAGGATGGTCAGGGGCTGAAGCACCTCCCGTATGAAGGCAGGCTGAGAAAGTTGGGGCTGTTCAGCCTGGAGAAGAGAAGGCTGCATGGAGACCTCATAGCAGCCTTCCAGTATCTGAAGGGGGCCTATAGGGATTCTGGGGAGGGACTTTTGATCAGGGACTGTAGTGACAGGACAAGGGGTAATGGATTCAGACTTAAACAGGGGAAGTTTAGATTGGATATAAGGAAGAAGTTCTTTCCTGTTAGGGTGGTGAGGCACTGGAATGGGTTGCCCAAGGAAGTTGTGAATGCTCCATCCCTGGTGGTGTTCAGTTCCAGGTGGACAGAGACTTGGGGGACATGGTCTAACGTGAGGTGTCTCTACCCATGGCAGGGGGGTTGGAACTGATGATCTTAAGGTCCTTTCCAACCCAGACCATTCTATGATTCTATGATTTTTTTTTTTGCCTCTGAAGGAATAATAAAGTAAAGCTGTCCTACATCTAATAACTAGATCTGTGTGTGAGATACATACACACAATGGACTGCAGAAACAGATTTTATGGGTGGTAAAATGTGTGGCATGCTGAACTTGTGACACTGCTCCAGAGGTGGTTCAGCCAATGTGAGACCAGTGACAGAACACAAGCTAAGATGTAAGAAAGGGCAGTTTGGAGAAATTAGCAAAGGTTGTAGCAGCAAAGAAACCGTTGAATATAACATCAATATGAGTTTAGATTAAATAAGAAGATTACAGAATAAGTTAAGCTATTCATCACAGAGCGCAATACTGGAACTGCTGGCAGGTAGCAGAATCCAGAAAAGTTAAAATCCTCCAGGAATGCCACTACGTAAATTGGAATTACTTCTTTTTCTACACTTTTTCATGTCCTCCTTCTTCCTGAATACCATGTACCTGTGGCTTAATGTGGTTGAATTCCACTTGTTCAGTGAGCTTATTGTGCTTTACATCAGTATTGAACTTTGTCCAGAGGCCCCAGCTGCATTCCTGGATTGGAAATGTACTTTCCCACATGGCTGCAAGAGAAAGCCTCTGGGAAATCAGCTTTAAGAGGTTTACAGTTTTAATTTTAGATGAAAGCAAAAGGGCACCAGGGAGGTTGCGTTTGCTTGTGGTCATTGAGCCAAATGATAAGAAGACAAAGGAATGTGTGGTTGGTAGAAGCATACATTTCTGGAGCTGAATCAGAGCTGAGGAAAGCACTAGTACATGCAGCAGTGTCAACACTATCACATATTCATTGCCAGCAACCACTGGTGCAACAAACACATCCCTCTGTAATCTGAGAGATGCATGTGCCAGTCCAAATACAAATAGCAGTAAACCCCAGAGTATTCTCAAAGAATTATGAAAGATAATATAAACATACTGGAAGAACTAGCCAGAAAGCCGCAGATCAAAGCAAGAGTTAGGTCTATAAGAAAAAGAGCATTCAATTCAGGGTTCTGACTTGAAATGCAGCCTTCCCTTCCTGCTTTTGTGCTGACCCATTTTGTTATGTGGGTTAGGCTTTGCCTGCAGGGACGCAGATCGTATAATACAAGTCACTGGGCAAACTCACCAAATAAGGCTTGAAGTCTCAGTGCAAATGAACAGCAGAGAGAAAAGGTTTAGGATTTTGCTTCAAACAGATACAGATTGAAAATTCTACAAACAATCTGTCCGTGGGAAGAAAATTTGAGTTTTCCATTGGCCG